AGTAGTAGTAGTAGTAGTAGTAGTAGTAGTAGTAGTAGTAGTAGTAGTAGTAGTAAGGTAGTAGTAGTAGTAGTAGTAGTAGTAGTAGTAGTAGTAGTAGTAGTAGTGGCGGTAGTAGTAGTAGTAGTAATAGTAGTAGTGGTAGTTGTAGTAGTAGTAGTAGTAGTAGTAGTAGTAGTAGTAGTAGTAGCAGCAGTAGTAGTAGTAGTAGTAGTAGTAAATATGGTAGTGGTCGTCGGAATCTGCGCTGTCCTCGTCGGAGTCGTGGTAGCAGACCGACTCTGCGTCGGAATCGTCGTCGGCATCATTGGAGTCGTCGTCGCAACCGTCCTCGTCGAAATCATTTTCTGAATTATAGGCGTCGCTGTCGGAATCGAGGGAGTTGTCGTCGGAGTCGTCGCCGTCGTCGTCGTCGTCGTCAGCGTCGGAGTCGCCGTCAAAATCGTCGTCGGAGTCGTCAGTGTCGTCGTCGTCGTCGTCATGGTCGTCGTCATTGGAATCGTCGTTGTCGTCCTCAGCGTCGGAGTCGCCATTAGAATCGTCGTCGTCGACAGCGTCGTCGTCGTCAGCGTCGTCGTGATCGTCGTCATCGGAATCGTCGTCGTGCTCCTCCTCCTCCTCCTCCTCCTCCCCTTCCGAGTGCCACAGCGTCCCTGTGAGCACAACAACATGCCTCTGAACACCACAGTAGCCTGCGAGCGCCACAAAACGTCCGCGGTCGCCACCGGACGACCGCCGCAACGTGACTGGGGGGGGGGGGGCGGGGCCAGTCGCGCGCGTGATCGCCGGGGGCTTCTCCGAACGGGCTCCTCCTCCTCCCAGACTCTCCTCCTCGCCGACTCCTCCTCGCCGACCCTCCTTCTAGACTCCACTGCTGGGGAAACCAAGAAAACAGATACCGCTACTCCCCGGACCTATCCCGGGGTGCGTTCTGACCAGGATTTCGAGGAGAATCCAGCGATGGCGACGAGGGCCTCCCAGGAGGCCCCAAAAAGGGGAAACGAGGCAAGGGTAGAGGTATGGGTACCTTTTCCTCCTCTGAGCTGTGACCCTCCTAACAGGACACTTGGGATCGTGATTTCAATGACTTTCCCTTCCCCCCCGCCCGTCCGTCCGCCTCGTCGAGGCCGTCGACGACGAACGCCAGCCGCCGGCTCGGCTGCTCCAGCGTCCTGCAGAGCCTGGAGGGGCAGACACGGAGGAGGAGTGAGGAGGAGGAGGAGGAGGAGGAGGAGGAGGAAGAGGAGGAGGAGGAGTGAGGAGGAGGAGTGAGGACGAGGAGGAGGAGGAGGAGGAGGAGGAGGAGGGGAGGAGGAGGAGGAGGAGGAGTGAGGAGGAGAGAGGAGGAGGAGGAGGAGGAGGAGGAGGAGGAGGAGGAGGGGACCATGACCAAGACTGAGCGCGGAAGCTTCATCAGGAGACGAAGAATGACACAGACATACAAACCCGGAGGTCCGCGCGGATTTCTCCGATCCGCGCTGGACGCCCCTGGCGGCGCCTCTGGCGCCGCCCCCTGGCGCGCTCCGCGCGCCCAGGGAGGGAGGTCCAGCGCCGATCCGAGAAATCCGCGCGGACCTCCGATTAGTATGTTTATGTCGTTATTCGTTCCCATATTCATGCTGATCTTGGTCACCGCCCATCATAACCAGCATCATGTCGTGGATCATCCTCGCGGATCGGCGACGGCCGACATGGATCATGACCACGATCGCATCGACAGGATCCCGCGACACTTGTGGAGTCCCAAAACCTGGATAGCAGGGCGCCAGAAACAGAAAGGCGTGGAGACGGGCGTGCGAAGGCCCCTCGCAGGAGCTCGAGAAGCTTCTGGAAGAGACTTCCGAAGGGGCTTCTGGAGAGGTGCCGGGCAAACGCCTAGAAAAAGCCTGCCAGAACGCGCTGCCGGTTCAAGCAAGTTGTGCCCGAGGTGTCCTGCCGGAAGCCGGAACGAGCTCTCGGGCTGCCCTGTGGTGCCGGGCCTCGAACTCTAAAACCCTACAGCTCTCCAAGGAGCTACCCGGGAATCTTGGTCATTAGAGACCTCCTAGATCGGGTCGGAGTAGATGTGGTCGGAGGATCGCGCCGCATCGCCGATACATCGGCGATGCATCGGCGATGCATCGGCGATGCATCGGCGATGCATCGTCGACGTGGGCGATGCATCAGCGACGTCGACGTGAAGCAAATCGGACTGCACATCGAGCCACGTCGGCGATGCATCGGCGGTGCGGTGCGATCCTCCGACCCCATCTACTCCGACCCCATCTAGAAGGCCTAGAGTCATGGTCCCCGTGTTTCTTCCCTCGAGAGCCGCAGCAGCTGCCCGAAGGCCCTGCTCGCGTCCGGCAGCTCCGTGATCCGGAGCACCTCGGCGGCGCGGGCCAGCGACCTCCGCCGGGCGCGGCCGCGTCGAAACCGCTGGGGCGGCCGAGTCGACGACGGGCGTCCAAACGGCCCACGGCAACGACGACGACGACGACAACACCGACGTCGACGACGACGCCGACGCCGACGCAGACACCAATGCCGACGCCGACGCCGACGCCGCCGCCGACGCCGATGCAAACGCCGACGCCGACGACGGCGACGATGACGACGATGACGACGCCGTTGACGCGCCGACGCCGCCACCGACGCCGACAACAACAACGACGACGACGACGACGACGACGACGACTACGACGACGCCGCCGCCGACGACGACGCCATCGACGACGACGACGCTGGCGCCGACGCCGACGACCACCACGCCGACGCCGACGCCGACGCTGACGCCGACACCGACGCCGACGCAGATGCCGACGACGCCGACGCCGACGCAGACGCCGACGACGACGCCGACGCCGACGCAGACGCCGACGCCGACGCCGACGCCGACGCCGGCGACGCCGCCGACTCCGACCATGACGCCGACGACAACGACGACGAGGACGACGACGCAGTCGCCGACGCCGCCGCCGCCGACGCCGCCACCGACGACGCCGACGACGACGCCGACGACGACGACGCAAACGCCGACGCCGAAGCCGACGCTGGCGCCGACGCCGACGCCGACGACGACGACGCCGACGACGACGACGACAACGACGAAGACGACGCCGACGCCGACGCCGACGCCGACGATGCCGACGCCGACGCCGACGCCGACGCCAACGCAGACGACGACGACGACGACGACGACGACGACGACGACGACCTCGCCGACGACGGGGACGGCGACGGCGACGGCGGCAGCGGCGGCGACTGCCACTGCCAGCCTTCGGGCCGGAGGGCCGGGGCAAAGGGTGAAGGGCAAAGGAGCCACTCTCGCAGTCAGCACCCCCAACAGGCGAAGCCGTCTGGAGAGCGCGCCTGCGGGTGAGCGCGCCTGCGCGCCCAGGGCCGCTCCCCAGTACGCCGCCTGAGGTCTTTGTCTGACCCTGAGGTGATGGGGGTCGGGGAGGTCTCTGTCCGACCCTGAGGGAAACGCAGCGGCCCCGTGGGGCCAGCCTGGAGGGGGAGGGGGAGGAGGAGCAGGAGGAGGAGGAGGAGGAGGACGAGGAGGATGAGGAGGAGGAGCAGGAGGACGAGGAGGAGGAGGAGGAGGAGGAGGAGGAGCAGGAGTAGGAGGAGGAGGAGGAGGAGGCTGAGGGAGGCATACTAGGATGGGATGAGGATGAGGAGGATGAGGATGAGGGGGAGGAGGCGGAGGAGGAGGAGAAGGAGGCTGAGGAGGCAACCTAGGATGAGGATGAGGATGAGGATGAGGATGGGATGACGATGAGGAGGAGGAGGCGGAGGAGGAGGAGGGAGGAGGACGAGGAGGAGGAGAAAGAGAGGAGGAGGAGGACGAGTGAGGAGGAGGAGGAGGAGGAGGCGGAGAGAGGAGGACGAGGAGGGGGGAAGGAGGAGAAAGAGGGGGAGGAGGAGGAGGTGGAGGAGGAGAGGGGAGGAGGAGGAGGAGGAGGAGGAGGAGGAGGAGGAGGAGGAGGAGGAGGAGGAGGAGGAGGGGAGGAGGAGGGGGAGGAGGAGGAGGAGGAGGAGGAGGAGGAGGAGGAGAGGAGGAGGAGGGGAGGACGAGGAGGAGAAGGAGGAGGAGGAGTGAAAGGGGAAGGTGGACGATGAAGGAGGAGGAGGAGGAGGAGGAGGAGGAGGAGGAGGAGGAGGAGGGAGGAGGAGGAGGAGGAGGAGGGGGCGGCCTCGGAGCACTGCGGGGGACCTCAGGGGGCCTCGAGGCACCCAGGGGAGGCGCAGGCTGCCCTGGCCCACTGGCCCCGTGGCCTCTCTGGTGGCCGGGGGGGGCGCAGGAGCTGCGTCGCACAAGGACACACTAGTGCTGTGTGTCCTTCTCGGAGGCGCGCGTCCGACCCGAACATACACTACAACCATCTTGCAGTGGACCGTTTCCCGAGCAGCACGGCCAGAAAGCACCCCCAACGGAGCATGTACAACAAGAGTTCTCGGAACGCGCGCGTCGCCCCCGTGGTGGCGACGCACGCATCGTATTAGCATGGTTGGGTGACGCCGAGGAGAGCAAACAGCCGAGCTTGCCCCCATCCAGCGCGCAACTCGTTCGGCGCACGTTTCGGCCGCAACCGCCCACAGAAAGACAAATACTCCGCGCTCCGTCCGCCGACAGCCCCAGACGACCCCCCGTCGCGGGCAAACACCGCGTGCAGAATGCGCCACACACCCTGGCACAGTGTGCCGACGTCGAGGGAGGCAGTGCGAGGTTGACGCCCCGTCGGGAAGGAGGGGGGGGAGGCTGAGGAGGCATACCTAGGATGAGGATGACGATGAGGATGGGGATGAGGAGGAGGAAGAGGAGGAGGAGGAGGAGGAGGAGGAGGAGGAGGAGGAGGAGGAGGAGGGGAGAAGGGGGCGGAGGAGGGAGAGGAGAGGAGGAGGAGGAGGAGGAGGAGGAGGAGGAAAGGAGGAGGAGGGAGGAGGAGGAGGAGGAGGAGGAGGAGGAGGAGGAGGGGGAGGGTTGGGGCTGGAGGTTATCCGTCACCGTGGCGCGAGGCACGAAGTGTCGAGGCGAAGCCAGGACGAGCATAACATCGGGCGAGGACCAATCGAGAGTCTCGGAGGTCCAACGGCTCTGGAGGATGTCACGGGCGCCGCAGCCTTCTCAGAGCGTTCTGGGGAACGCTCTGAGAGCGTTCCGGAACGGAATTATCCTCGTCGCAGCCCCGCCCGAGGAGCGGAGTGGCCTCAAACCCTATCTGTCTCTCTGCACCGGG